AAAAAAAAATTATTTGTAAAGGTAGGGTCTTGCTATATTGTCCAAGCTGTTCTTGAACACCTAGCCTCAGGTGATCCTCCTGTGTTGGCCTCCCAGGGTGCTGGGAGTGTCTACAATGAAAAGAATTTCAGTCCATGAGAAACACACAACACAAGATTGGCCCAAGTCCATGGCTCTGAATCCTTGGGCCTTGATGGGTCACATTCATACCGTACTGGTATCAATGGCTCCATCTACAAAGGTGGTACCCTCCTTCCAATGAGAGCACCCTCACGCCAAGAGGAACCTAGTAGCCTGACAGCCAGCAAAACTACCAGATAGAATTCTTCCTCTCTTTCTATTACATCTTTCTGTTGTGGCCTGATTTAATCATCCCCTACACACCCCATTTCTGCCATAATCTCCTCAAGACGAAACTCTGCCACGGCCCGCTACTCCTTCCTTCCTTTCACTTCTCCAACTCCCAGAAGCACCTTAATATCCCACTCTCACCATGAGATTTTAATGAGGGGGATGTACTCAGCAATTAGAAATAGGAAAGGACTCATTAGGGTTCCTGTACATCAGTGTTTAACCCAGCATCCCATGCAGCCCTCCAAGCATTAACCTCATTCCCCATACACACTCAATTAGGCATATTTACTTCTCATTACCCAGTATGCAATCATGAGTGCTAATAAAAACCTTTGCTACCCCCAACAATGCAATTAATGCCATTAGCTGTCTCTCAAAAACTCTTCTCCACTGTGCTGCCAACAGTCCGCTCGTTCATCCACTTACTCATGCATTCATGCACGTACGTCCCTCTCTGTTCAGCAGAGTGGCATGCACACCTACTATGTGCCTTGCTAGGCAAAGACTCGGGACTAAGAGAGGAATTAGACACAGTGTCTTCTGCAGAAGGACTTGTGAGCGCAGGTAAGTAATTACAATATAATACAAAGCGATGTAGGGCACTACAGAGGAGTGGCCAGGGTAATACTAAAACCCCAAGGAGGACAGGGATGGGGAAGCGCAACTCCACCCCTCAGCAGCAGTTCAAACCCCAGCTCTGCAGGGTTCTAGCTGTGAGTCTTGAACAATCGATTGCTACGTCTAAAATCCTACTTATGGGATGGAGATAATCATCCCAGGACCCGCACCTGGTTAGTTGGGAGGATTAAGTGAGATAATGCCTATGAAAGGCCTGGCAAGGCACACAGAGGGTGTGCAGTCTACAGAGGTGACCAAGACTTGGTGCCCTATTCT